CGTTTTCAAAGTGGTTGTTTTATTCTATTGATATGCATCGAAGTGAACCATTGGGTGGAGTTTTCTCCAGAACCTCTTGGTTACTGAGATATATTCGTATATCTCACCCCGTCTCGGGGCATTTATTTCAGGAGGTAGCAGTGGAGCAGGAGCAGCGGGTAAGAGGCCCGTAGAGTGAGCATTGGAGTGCTTCATGTTTTGTTTTTTTGTTGGCCGTGTGGCCTAGGCTAGACTTAGGGCATGGACATCTCATATGTATGTTGTATGAGCTTCATTAGCATATTTGTTCATGCCATTTTGCCTAAGTCTAGTAGTTATGTATTTGGTTATGTTGTCATTTGAATTTAAGTTGTAATATTGGAAGAATGTAAGTTGAAGTTTAAGTTTCAATTTGTAAAGCGTAAAGAAATATTGTAATAGTATTGATGCATGACTATTTATGATGGAAGGGCCTTAGGCCTATTTTAGGGTATGATTACATGTATGATAAAAATATGCATGGAAAAGGTGTTAGTGATTGCAACTACTTAAGGATGATTAATATGAATTATATGCCTAATAACTATAAACTGGATTGGGTTGTAAGTGCCCCAAGGCGTTGTTGATCCTTGTGTGTGCCACCCATTGGATTATTACTGTATTATCATGTGTTTATTAGGTACATTTGAGGTTTAAATGATCGTTTACAACTTTGGGATTATTGGAAAAACAAAGGAAACTCTGGCGAAATTTCTGTAGAATTGGCAGATTTTAGGCGAACTTCGGGAGGGCATATCTCCCTCCATAGAGGTCCAATAGGGACGTGCCATACTCCATTTTGAAGGTTGAGATGTTCTCTACCTTGTGTCAAAATTTGAGGAAATTCTGGGTTGATCTTTGGCCTGAAAAAAATAGAGAAACACGGACTGCTCATGTGCCCCTGCACCTGAGGCAGATTCTGGACCGGATATGGGAAATTAATTCCTGCTTCGTTTCACAGTCCAATTAAGCGTATGATATATCAAAATGAATTTTGAGATGTCTAGTTTGTAGGATAAAAATTTGAGAGCAATTGGTTGAATGGATTGAGTGCAGTAAATCGAGTAAGGTGAGTGGTTTGGAGCTGTTTTTGGGGTTGTTTGGCTATTTGATGATCCAACTTCAAACGGCGATAACTGGAGCTAATGAGCTCCGAATTGAGCGTACAATAGCTTGTTAAAAAGGGAATTAAGTAAGACAAAGATCTAATCCGAGAAGATAGTTTGGTTGCGAACAGTTTGGTCGCAGAAAAATTTAGAGTGAAACATGTCCGAATTGGTAAAAACATAAAGTTTGGAAATTGGCTAAGTGAGTTTATGGGAACTCCTTAGTAACTTATAATAAGTAATGTGAGTTATAAAAATAGTTTCAATAAGTCTTCCGCAAGAGTTTACGGTTACGGTCACAACTTTTAATTATTACGCTTTTTTATGTTTTAAATGCTCGCGTAATAATCGGAAAAAGTTTATTCGCATTTTTATAAATGAATTGTTGTGATTGTAACTGCGCTTAATATCATAATTAATGTTAACAATACCGGTGTACAACGGGATGTTACACATACAGTCCAACCATTGTTCACTAACCATGGTGGAGCACTCAAGCAGGAAAAGACTCCTTAAACATAGAGCTTACCTCTTGCAGCTTTATCAATCTGCTTACTTGTGACACAAGTTACTTTTATATCTTCTAGATATTTCGATCCTTTTCAGTCCCTAGGCGCACCTAGAGAAAGAATCCAAAATACAAATCAACAAAATGCTATCATGCCTAGATTTTACATAAGGCTTGCATTTTATCGCTTCTTTTCGTTTCTTTACGTTTTTGCCAATACTATGCCAATACACAAGTCTAGACTTCTTTATAACCGTTAGTGTTCTTTAATTTAATCAAACATTCCCTTAAAAATTTTCCACATAAATCATGCTATTTTTCTTCAAAAGGCGCGGACATACCCTTAGGAAATCAAAGTATTTTTCAACCATTTTTCAAGTCATTTCACTTCTTAACTCATCAATTTTATACAATGAATTACAACACATTTTATTTACAATAAAATGTAGCAAAATATACCCTTATACCACCCTCTAAGTCGAACACTACAAGGACATAGGCAAAGGTTCTTTTGCTTCACTTACATGTAACTTACACATACAAATACATGTTTTTATAAGGTTCCAACTTAATTTTTGGAGCATAAAGTCCCTCCAAAGCCCCACAAGGCCTAAACCTAAGGGCATATTTCATATAATTTTTCCCACTTTGGCATTCTCACTAATTTATCAAATTTCCACTTAATTCCTACACATTAAACCTTCCTAATAGTTAAGATAAAATTGTGCACAACATCCTACTCTTCACCTATGATGGCCGAACATGTAGAGGAAAGCATAGTATTTTTTTCTAATTTTTTTACATACATACAAATGCTTATTTTCATTTCTTAAATCCAAAACATCAAAGATTCATCATTAAATCAAAGTTTAATACACAATGCTCTCCTACCAAAATATACTCATAACTTTTATAACTTAAATCATCAAAATAATACCATGGAAATAGAGGTTTGTTATCTCTAATCAACTATCCAAAGCCTAGAAGACATCCACCAAGCAAAGCTCCATGAAAAGCTCACTTTTTCTCCTCCAATGAATAGTAACTCGAAAATGGGAGGAGGAAGAACTATTTCCACACTTAACTATAGCTCGAATTGATAGGTGGAATGGACTCATTGAGTGGTTTACAATCGATTTCATGTGGTGGGTCTTTGGATTTGGTGTAAGATTCAAAGAGAAATCAACAAAATCAACAAAACCCTAACCCCCCCCCCCCCTTTTCCTTGGCTGAAGCTCGGGCATGTAGAGAGAGAAAAGAGTATGTTGTGAGTGAATAGTGCTCACTTAAGGGAGTGGGACATGTATGTATAGGTGGCTCTTTTTACCGGTTGTTTTTCTTTCGCGTATTTTTACTTAAATTGCCCCGGAACCAACTTAAAGCTACAAACATATTTTTATTTTTCTAAAATCATTTACATTAATTTTTATTTCCTAAGGAACAATATTCATAATTCACAGTATGGTTTTTGCACCGTTTTTGACGAAATGCACTATGCATCACTAATTGTACTTCATTTACTTACGAAACTTAAAACTTATAAACTTATCATTTTCTTGGGCCTATATTGACTTGCTTGGCATATATTGGACTTTCTTATTCTTATTTCATCAATTATTTATTTCTGGACTCTACCGGTTGCTTAAACAGCAGTACAAAATACCTGGTAGAAACACTATTCACGAGATTTTCACGGAAAGTGCCAGACTATACAATTTTTCGTTCTGAACTCATATTTGTCGTCAGAATTATCAAATTATGTCTCTAAAATTATTTTGCTCTTTTAAGCTCTACCGGTTAATTCACAAAACTGTAAATTCTCCGGCAGAACGCACTGTTCATAACATAGTCATGATTACAGTCAAAATACTCGGAATCACTCATTGAATCTAATTATGACATTTAAATCCTTAAATTAAATCTCTAATTAAGATTTACCATTTAGGGTCATTATAACAATAACTTTAATTAACTTATGTAATTTATTAAGAGAAAAAGTTTCTGATGTTATTTTAGACAACTTTGTCTAATGTTCATCGAAATGACGTCGTTTTGGAGTTGAAATATTAAAAAATTAGAATGATAAAGACTATTATAACCTTGAAATAAATTAAAATTACAAAAACACCATGATTTCCGTCCCAAAACAACGTCGTTTTGGTGAATATTAAATAAAGTTATCTAAAGTAACTTTAGAAAAAACAAACTCATTAATTAATTATGACTTTTGGAACTTAGCATACTTTAGTTTATCTCAAACTTAGGTCGATGTAATAAGAACTTTTAGATTTATGTATCTTGGTTTAAAACTGACTATGCTAACTTTTCTTAATTCATATGGGACGTATGATGGTTTTAATCACACGTGTCACACATAATAATATTTTAATTTCATATATTTATTTTTTTTTTAGCAAAAAAACTTTTTGACCCAACCTAACCAATCCGACATGAACTTAGGCTGGGCTAGGTTGAAGAAAAATATTTCCTCAACTCACAGCTTTGATAGACAGAAAGTTTTAAAAGCATCCTGAAACTCACCCAATAAACAACCCTAGAAAATAAATTTTCTCCTCTCTTATTAATTATCTTTTTATTCTATGATGTGTACTTTACAAAATACTTTATTTAATTAAAAATGATCTGCCCAAAGAATTATAAATTCAATTCCTAAAAATCACAACCTCTGCGAAAAATAGAGAAACTCAAATCTAAAATTAAATTAAAGGGATCTATAGAATATGGGATATGATTGAAATCTTAAAAAGCATTATCCCATTTGGACGTGTGTATTAGACTAATAGTAATACAAGTGTTACCAAAATAAGAATACTTCTATTTGATGGAAGCACGTAGTTATTTTTAATTTTTGAGAAGTGACACATCACTACATGAGATGAGAGGCCGTCTATGAAGAACACTTCATTTTGTAATTTACGAAGGGTCAAAAGAAAAAAGTTACCTATTTTTTTAAAACTTTATTTTAATAAAAAAGACAAGTATAATAATTATAAAAAAATAATATAACAAATAATATATCACTTTCATAAAAGTCAGAAAAAATCTACAACAGACATATATAATAATATGTAACTGAAAAAATAAAATAGAGAACAGAATTTTAGAATAATTTATGAGAAAAGTTGGAGGGTGGCCTGAAAGAGTCTTTTGGGGCGATTTTTTTATTTTTTTTATTTTTATCTCTCTCTCTTCCTTTTGAAATACTTTATTATTTTTCTGATCATTGTTTTCCCAGAAAAATTTTCAAACCAAAAAGAATGTGTCCACGTAGGAACAAGAATACAACAACATAGAGAGAAATAGTGTGTGATTGTGTGTTTTGTGTTGTGTTGAGAATTGAGATCCAACTTTGTTTTCATGGTTAAGGCCTTCTTGTGTTGCTATTGCTGCTTAATTCTCGCCATTTCTCCAATGTTGTTTTCCGAAGCCCGAGATTGAACCTTCGTGCGTAAGCTACGTTCACCCTTTTCCCCCATTCATCATCTCAATCTTATCTGAAATCAAATCATTGATCCAACCCCACTTTTTATTTTTTTTTCCTTTTTCTCAACTCTGATTCGATTATATTTGCTCCAATTGTGCCAATTCTGCTGATCATCAGGTAGTTCCTTTGCGTTGTTATTTATTTTTTAATTTTATTTTTAATTTTTAACATTTCTATTGGGTGCATACCTTGGAAAATTTTGCATTTTGATTGATACCCATGTTTAATTATTGCATGAACAGCTTGAAAAAATGTCCACTGTTTGTTGGGTGCCCACCTTTTTAATCTGGAAAATTTTGGATTTTGTTGGATATTCCGTGTTGAGTTCTTGCATGCACAGCTTGGAAATGTTTGTTGCTTGTTCTTTGCTGTTTTTGGTGCCCGCTTTTTTCAATCTGGACAATTTTGAGTTTTTATTGATACCCATCTTGAATTCATGCATGCACTGGTTGAAATTTTTTTAGTGTTTGTTGCTTCTGATTCGTTGTTGTATATGTTATGGAATTTGGTTCTTTTGGATGGTTGGTGATAGAGAGATTTCTTGTCATATTGCTGGTTGTGTGACTCCTCAGTTTGTTATAGTTACTCTTGGCCCTTGTAAATAATCCAAGATTAGTTGGTTTATGTATATGCAGGTAGATAAACTTGAAATTAGTGGGGATTTTATGTTATCTTCTGGTGTCTAGATTGATTCCATGTTCGATTGCTGGAACGTGTGGTCCAGATCTCTTTGGTTGTGGTTGTGAAACTGTGTACAGGATTTCTTGCTGCAGTTCAGTATCCTCCAATATATCTTGAGATGGTAATTTGAGGTTGAATTGAGAATTTGAGTGTCAATAGGCAGGAAAAATTGAACATGAATTTGTGGGTAAGTCAGCTGTTTACATTTCTAGCCTTATTATTATATCAGCATTCTGTGAAAAGAATTAGCAGCTTGAGCAGCTGAGAAACTGTTATTATGGCACTAAATAAGACAGGAAAGTTGTTTGGTACCAACACTGGGGAGGACCCTGGCTTGTTTCCTCAAAACACCCGGCCAGAATTGCGCGGTGGTGTTGCAAATACAGGACAACAAATGCATAGTAATATCTCTCTACAGGCAGGGGAAGAATTTGCTGTGAATTTTGGTCATGATGGAATTGCTGCACGAAGAGTTCCTGTTTCACCTGATATACCTCGAAATCATGAGAATAGGGTTGGGTTGAATAGGGAGAGTGGCCCCGTGAGATATGAGGATCTTACAAATATTTTGGGGTTGAGGAGAATGGACTCTGAGTGTGCTTCTGACATATCAGACTTTGTCTCCATAAAACAGCCTGCACAGGAGATGGAAAATTGGGCTTCTGTTAACATTTTAAGCAAAATTCAAAAGGGAGATGGTGATAGTTGCCATGCATTGAGGAAGGCTGTTCGTGAATCAATTGGTGACCAACCTGGTATTGGGCCAGCTGTATCACCCCTTCTCAGATATGAATCTTCTCAGACCAATGGGTTTTCTGGTTCTGGAATTTTAGATGATTCTGTGTCTGGGAAAATGAAGTTTCTGTGCAGCTTTGGTGGAAAAATATTACCAAGGCCCAGTGATGGGAAACTCAGATATGTAGGGGGTGAGACACACATTATATCTATCCGAAAGGATATTTCATGGGAGGAGCTAGTGAAGAAGACCTTGGGTGTTTGCATTCAACATCACACAATCAAATACCAACTTCCTGGGGAGGATCTTGATGCTCTAATATCTGTTTCATCTGATGAGGACCTTCAAAATATGATAGAGGAATACCATGGGCTTGAAAGGCATGAAGGTTCTCAAAAGCTAAGAATTTTTTTGGTTCCTTTGGGTGAATCTGAAGAGACATCGTCAACAGAGGTGAGCACTGTTCAGCAGAGTGATCCTGATTACCAATATGTTGTTGCCGTGAATGGCATAGTAGACCCTAGTCCTAGGAAAAACATTGGTGGGCAGGGTTTGACAAATGAAACAAGTCAGTCTGTTGCAAGTTTGAATTTTGCTTCAGTTTTTCAAAAAACTTCTCCAAATGCCTCTTCTCCTTTGGAGATAAGGGATGGTATTAATGCTTTAAATCCAGATGGAATTCTGAATGATTCCCTTAATGTGCAAAGATCCTTCCCAATTTCTTCTACTCCAATTCAGGTAGCTGGTTCTGGCACAGGTTATGTACAATTGCTTGACAATAACTCATGCCAGGGAAGTCTTGAGAGCAACACATCATATATTACTGCTCAGCTACACCCTGAGAACTCCAGCATAAATACTGCTGATTGCAGATACCCTTATCAACATAAACACGGTGTTGTTGGTCAGCCCATGAAGCTCAATGAACGGCGTTTTGACAACTACAACCCAGAAAAAGAATTATTGACTCCTGTATATGTTAACCCAAGTGATGGTTACTGTGATGAAATTTTTGGGGGAGGGCCCTTGAATAAGGAAAGAAGATTCTACTCTGGAAATCCTCTTTCATGCTTGGATGATCCAATCTGTCAACATGCTGAGTCTTATGAAACTACTGACTCCCCTCATGGGATGCCTCATGCTTTTTCTGATTCACAGTTGCACGAGACTGGAGCAAGGTCTGGTTACACCTCACAAGAAGGAATTGGCCAATCTTTCTCCTGGAACCTGAAAAAGGCTCAATTACCTTCAACGTTACTCTCTAGTGTCTCGCAAGTGAACCTTATGGAGCATCAGCATGATTCCATTCTCTGTCATCCTCAAATGGAGTGTAAGATACCAAAAGTTGAGTCAGCTGAGATGCGAAGATGGCAAGATGTAGCATCTTCTTCTCCATATTCAGAATCATTAGGAATGAATGATCCTTTTCATAAGGATAGCATTTTAACTGAAAAGAAGTACCTTATTGCTCAAACTGACTTAAGAGGATCTACATTTGTAGCGAAGGATATTAAGGAAAGTTCTGTGAATTTAGAAAGGATGAAGATAATTGAAGAAAGGAATCCTATTCCCAAGAAGGATAGCAAGATTTATGAGGGGAAATCGTCTATCATGGATATGGGACATGGGACTGAATTGCATCTTTTGGACTCCTTCCCTGCTAATAACTTAAATGCTAATATTAATATGCAAAAGAATTGGGTACTACCTTCAAAGGATATAGTTCCCCCGTCATCAGGCATGATGGGACTCTCCCTAAAAAATCTTGCGGACAAGAACCCGTCTGATCTTCTTGGCTTGAGCCAAAGGACTAATGTTGGCAAGAAATGTACTTTGGCTGAAGGTCTGAATGGTGAACAAGGAATTGATTTTTCAGTGACCAGAAATTTTGATTTAAATGCTCCAATTTTAAAATGTGAAGAAAACTCTTTTGACAAAAGTTCTCTGGGAGGTCATACGTTTGAGCTGTCCATTGACCCAGATTATCTTGAATCTGCTCAAATTCAGCCTTCTAGTAATCTGATGGCTACAGGTTTTCTTGAAAATCCGATAGTAAGCTCTGCAATTTTGTATCCTCCTGTAATTCATGATAATCTTGGTCCAAGTTTAAACTTTCCTATGAATGGTCTGGATAATCCAAGCAAGAATATTTCTTTTAAAAAGGCACCTTTTCTGGATGACTTGACTGCCAGCACTGATCAAATGGTTGATCAGTTTATCCATGAACACTCTGCCTCTGGAAAGTCAAAAGTTGAAGATATAATGTCGGGACAATCTAAAAATTTAGAAAGGTGTAATGATGTAAACCCAGTGGAGCCATTTTTCATAGTAGAAGACGTGACTGGTGTTGTTCCTAAACATATTGAGTCTTCATTGGTAGGAACCTCACATATTGTGGATGAAGTTGGAAGTGATGTTGTATCCCCATCACCTACTGAAGCAGAGAGCATCATCCCTGAGTCTGATGAACCTGAGGTAGGGTAGGAAAAACTGAAATCTTACTAGAGTTTATGATGATATATTTATGGTTTCTGAATCTTTTATTTTCATTTACAGGATTTTAAAGACGATCAAACAGACAAGAGTGACTTCCTTTCTGATGCAATGATAGCAGAAATGGAAGCCAGCATATATGGTTTGCAGGTTGACCATCATTGATGTGTATCTTCTTCTTACAGCTGATTATTATTGATGAGTTTATGACTTGCTAAATAATTTCCATCTTCGTGTGCTTTTTTGCAATATATCATATGGTTTTCCTCTAACTGACTTTTAATGTTATGTCATTCAGATAATAAGGAATGCTGATCTTGAAGAACTTACAGAGTTAGGATCTGGTACTTATGGAACTGTTTTTCATGGAAAATGGCGGGGAACAGATGTTGCTATAAAGAGAATCAAAAAGAGTTGCTTTGCAGGGAGAGCTTCTGAGCAAGAACGGTTGGTGAGTCTTCAGTGCAATTTTCTTTTCAATGCCATTTTGTATTATGATAACATACATATTTTACATCTCTATTTACCCATAGGTTTAATGTTACTTCCTATAATTAAAGTGGAGGGATGAGACCAGGGTTAAATCCAAATTCACTCTCGCTGTCCCTTCATCCCTCATTCCCTCTCCCTCTCCCTCTCCCTTCTATATCTTTATGTATGTACATTCCTATGTATATTATCATGGAAATTGAATTCTACTGATGTCCCAAATTCAAATGATTTAAAACATAAGTTGTTAAATTTGGACCATAAGATAAAATGAGAAGTCTTGCATACTATTTTGCAGATTTTCTGAAAATATAAGTAATGCTCATTAAAAAAATTATATTCCAGTTTCAAAATTAGCTCTGCCCATTTCTATTCAAAAAAAACTATGTACATTAATCTGATAATGTCTCTTGGCTTGGTTAGGCAAAAGACTTCTGGAGAGAGGCACATATCCTCTCAAATCTTCACCATCCCAATGTGGTCGCATTTTATGGAATAGTACCAGATGGGGCTGGTGGAACCTTGGCAACTGTAACCGAGTATATGGTCAATGGCTCCCTTAGGCATGTGCTTGTTAAGAAAGACAGGTACCCTAACTTAGTCCATTTTCTCTGAATTTTGAATAAGTTAATTATGCACACACTGAATATCCAACTCTTTATGCAGATTACTGGATCGTCGTAAAAAGCTAATAATTGCAATGGATGCTGCTTTTGGTATGGAGTATTTGCACTCAAAAAATATTGTCCATTTTGATTTGAAATGTGACAATTTGCTTGTCAATCTAAGGGATCCACAACGACCCATATGCAAGGTAAGAATTCAATTCGTCAGGTTTCATCTTGTTTAACATTAGAATAGAGATGAAATCATAAGGCTTGTCATGGTGCTAACTCATTTGCTTAATTTTTTCTGATGACAATAAGCTATAAAAGGCTCTTATGAAAGAGTGAAACAGCATATTTCGGAACTGAGAATAGAATCATAAACCAAGCACAGTGATCTAGGTAGTTTGAAATGATTTGAGAGATTTCTAAACCCTTATCCTTCAACTCTCTGTCTCAAGTTATATTCTCCTCTTTCCGCCTTATGTCAATTAGTATTGGAGCCATGGAGAGATGTAGAAAAGAAATGAATTAAACTCTGCAGCATATGCTTGAAGATTGTGTCATGAGTACAAGCATTAAATTGACAAACAGTGGAAAGCAATATGGAGATTATAGAAAGTGACCACAACCCTTTGGACATTCTGGAAAGTTGTCAAGAAAATGAACTTTATGATGAAGGTGATGCAAACTCCTTTCATGATACTGTATCTGAGACTTAGTATACTGATAAAAATTTTCCGAAATTTCTGGAAAATTCTTGTTGAGTATGTCGGGCTAAGCTGAAAATAAATTCAAGCCACATTACAAATTAAAACCTCAATGTCTAAGTGATAAAGGAGTTTGATCTTTGCCAACCCCATTCTTCATTATTATTATTAAATTAAATTTCAGCACAAGGTAGTGTTAATCTGTGCTTTATCCATACTTTGAACCCAACCATTTGAGGGTCATGTTAGAATCTTAGAGAATAAACCAGTGGTCCATTTGTTTTCAGTGGAAGTCTCTACCAATCTATGGTGTTTATCGTGATGATATTCAACAATGTAGTCAAGCCATAAATGTGGTGGAGACTGGAAAGAGAAATTGTGGACTTTTGAATGGAATAAGATTTATTACTTGAGGAAGCCGAGAAGGAAAATTCTACAAAAGAAGACCCAAAGTCTCTTAGAATATTCCAGATCACAGGCTTGGTGTGTTGAATTTGGAAATTGTTCCATGTTCCATTTTTTAGCTAAACACACACACCTTGTAGATCATATTAAGAATGAATGTTTTTATTATCATTTTATATGAAATGGAATATTTCAAGAATGAATATTTTTATTATCATATTGATGTTTTGGTCTTTGATGATTTCATTGTAATTTTATCTGGAATTATGTTAGGGGGAGGTATCATTTCATTGTTTTAGGTAGTGTCAAGGTAATCGTTGTACAATTAAAGTTATATTATGATACATTTACCAGAAAAAGAAAAAAAAAGGAGTCCTATTATGATACAATATGGATTACGAAACACTAGAAGGGGGCCTTTATGCTGGTCAATATTTATTGTGTCTATGAAACTGCTTGGTACGTGTAGAAGGGATAGAACTTATCTCTCGAATTATCAATATTATACATAGTGTTTTTCCTTTGAATGTATTTAATTCCGAATTTGAGAGTTTTTTAAACCCTAGAACTCTCTATTGTTTCCTTTATCTCTCAACAGCAAGCTATACTGGCTGCCTTACCCCTCTAATCATGAACAGGATTTTTGAGTGAACTTCCTTTTGTGCTTATATAGTTGATTATTTTTGTGCTAAAAGCCCAAGGAAAAAAAAAAGTACTACTTACTTCATCAATGAAAAAATAGTAGTCATATTAGTCTGCCGATTTACTAAAATTATTTGTAATTGTCTTACTGTGACTATTTTTTGTTTTTCATTTTGCAACTTTTGTTTGTTGAATATTTTTTCCCAGGTTGGAGATTTTGGATTATCAAGAATTAAACGCAATACCCTTGTATCTGGGGGTGTGCGAGGAACCCTTCCATGGATGGCGCCGGAGCTGTTGAATGGTAGTAGCAACCGGGTTTCTGAAAAGGTAACTGGGACCATTCATATGAAGTTTAGCAATATAGAGGAACCAATGAATCTTTTGGCAGGAATTTAGCTAGTGGAATGACTTTGACAGGTTGACGTTTTCTCATTTGGCATCTCAATGTGGGAGTTATTGACAGGGGAAGAACCTTATGCAGATATGCATTGTGGTGCCATTATTGGTAAGATTATGTCCTACATTTTCTTTGTTAGTCCTACATTTTTTTACCTCATTACATGACTTATGCCTTACCAAATGGTATTCATTTTATGATGAAATTTCTCCACTTTGGGTTGTCAGCTTGCTTTGGCTAAATTGCATTTCTTCAAGTTTTTACTCCTGTATTAATCTAGTATTAGAATGCAGAGTTTGGCTCATCCAGTTATCAACACTTTACAAAACTTGCCAGGTGTAATAGAGGATATTTAGGGCATGACATGTTTTTCTTTTAATCTTTAACCAATGTTGGTGAGGTTGATTCTTGGAGCAGCAGTAAAGTTCCTTTTTGTGACCGAAAAGTCACGAGTTTGAGTTTGAGAAACCGTGTCTTTGCAAATATGTAGGGGTAAAGGTTGTGTACAATCGACATTCACTTTTACCCTCGCAAGTCAGCGAACCTTGTGTATCGGGGTTTTTCCATTTAATCAATGTTGGTATTTTTTAAACTTTCAACTCAGATGATGGCTGGAATGGTTTGCAAGAAGTCCCAGTGAGAAATGAGAAACTATTGCTTCTATGCTTACTTGTTCAATGCTGGACTGTAAATTCACTAGGCATGTTGCTGTTTGAAACTGACCAGACAAGACTATTGACTGTTACACTCAACAAACTGTAATTACCACTATTAAGGACTTATCTGGATATAGAAAAATATTTCAAATTCTCAGATTAGCTTGACGTACGAGTTATGACTGCACTTGTGCCAAGGATGCAATGATCCTTGACAATTTCATTGGGTTTAAATTTATGGTTATGTTTCTACCTTGATTAAATGGATGCCATGGATTCAACAAAAATAAGTTGGTAATAGATGTGTTACTTCCATTACTGATTTGCTTCTCTTTTGGTGACATATTTCATTTAGGGGGTATTGTAAAGAACACACTTCGACCACCTGTTCCAGAACGCTGTGATCCTGAATGGAGGAAGCTCATGGAAGAGTGTTGGTCACCGGACCCCGAAAGACGACCGTCATTCACAGAGATAACTGACAGGTTGAGATCTATGTCTATGGCCCTTCAAACTAAAGGGAATTATCAAGCATGGAAGTTAAGCCCCAATAGTGCTTCTTGAAACCAAGGCACATTTTCTGCAGTCATGTTTGATTGTACAGGACTTTCATTGTATAGTGTCTTTTAAAGAAGCAGTCAAGTTTGGGGTTGGCATGCTTTAAGGGTTATCACAACACACTTTACCTATTTTTTCTTGTAATTTCTGTTCGCTATGATATCTTCATTTGTTTATTCTTTCTTGTAAAAGCTGAGGTTGAGATCATGGTATAGTTGTCTAGATCTATCAACTTTTGTACTTGGTGGGTGCATGATCGAACATTTTGTCAAAGAAAAGGTGTCTTTTAGCGTATATATACAGACCATAGTGCTTGTAAACATGTTTTGATTTATTTGAGTGAAATAAGAGAGAATATTAAGTTTTTGAGTGAAATAAGTTCCACATGACCAAGAAAAGAAACACAATCAGAACAATAATAATACATTGAGTTGATGATTGAAAATAAAAGCAATGGAAGTTCCGCACATATTTATCAAAGTGATAATTAAAAATAATATAATGAGAACAATAATAATATTATGAAGAACAAATTTTCTTCAATAAAGATTAGCTATTTCTATCCTCGCTTCTCCCCCCAGTTTTTGCTTAAGGCATTTCTATTTTCTCAATTTTTTTAAAGATAATTAAGTTGTTATCCAAATGATTCAATGGATTATCATTCTAAGTTACTTCGTTCTCAATTTTCTCAAAAATTCTTGTAGTCTATTAAAGATAGAAAATTCATTTTTCCATTTACCTTCTCTGTTGCTGTCTGTTACTCATTTTTCTGTTTTGGTCATTTCTGTTTTTCCTCTTGCGCATTTTACGGAAGTTAGTTATCATCTGTAAACTTCCTATATAATAGGAAATCACATCACTGTTGATGAGTACAATGAATACAATCAGTCTTTATTTTTCTGCTGCATTTTGTTTCTCTATTTGTAAAATGGTATCAGTAGTAATTCTCTGATCCCTGCCCTTGCCTTTCTCCATGGCTCGTGGTAGTGGTACTAGTAATAATACTTCCACTAATTCCAATCCCAGTGGTGGCACATCTTCTGGTTCTTCGAATTCAGTCGATGATTCCAGAAGCCCCTATTATCTTAGCAATGGTGATCATCCAATATTGATCTTAGTCACTCACTCGCTGACCGGCTCTAATTTCAATTCTTGGTTGCGAGCTATGGTCATTGCTTTAACAGCGAAAAACAAATCTCCCTTTGTTGATGGCACTCTTCCTCGGCCTTCACCGGATAATCTCTTGTTCAATGCCTGGAATCGTTGCAATTCAATGGTGATTTCATGGCTTCTGAACTCTGTTTCAAAAGATATCGCTTATAGTTTGATGTACTTCATCAATGCCTATGATATTTGGAACGATATTCGCAATCATTTTCATCAGGCCAACGGTCCTCGCATATCTCAGCTGAAACTCCAAATTTCCTCTCTGCAACAAGGTGCTCTCACCGTCAATGGCTATTATACCCGTTTGAAGATCTTATAGGATGAACTCCTTGATTATTCACCATCTTACCCATGCACTTGTGGTGCCTTACGATCCATCACCAATTATCGTGATCAGAATTATGCCATGCAATTTCTCATGGGTTTGAATGACTCTTATTCTTTAATTAGAGCTCAGATCCTTCTCATGGATCCTCTCCCTTCTTTATCCATAATTTTTTCCATGGTGTTACAAGAAGAACGTAAATGGGAGATCACTTCTTTTGTTTTAGTTGTTCAAGAAGCTTCTCCACCGCTTCTCAATGTTCCACCGCCGTCTGTTGCTGCTGCCGCTGGTGTGCCTCAACGACGTCAGCTTCCCTTTTGCACTTACTGTAATACTTTGGGCCATACAAAAGATAAGTGTTTCAAGTTACATGGTTTTCCACCCGGGTATAAACCCAAACCGGCTAGGCCCACTATAACTCCTCAATCCAACGATGTCGTTTCACCCATCCCTGATTTATCCTCACCAACGTTCACTCCCCAATAATATCAACAGCTTTTTTCCCTCATCTCACCGAACCCTAACCCATCTTCTTTTTCCTCTCAACCATCATCTCCACCAATAGACATTAATCCTACCGTTGCCAGCTTCAGTGGTGAGTTTCCTTCCCTCTTGTCTTCATCTTGCTGGGTTCTGGACACTGGAGCTACCCATCCTGTCTCCTATACCCCTTTGTCATCCACGACATCTCTTCCTACTTCCGAATCAGTCGTGTCTCTTCCTAATGGCACGGTTGTTCCGGTTGCAGCTAAGGGTTCCTTTATGCTCTTTGCACGTCTTATTCTTTCTGATGTTTTGTTTGTTCCTAAATTTTCTTTTAATCTTCTTAGCATCAATGCTCTTACACGTACTTCAGACATTGTTGCTCACTTTTTTTCTTCACATTGTTTTCTCCAAGAACGAGTATCAGGGAAAACGATTGGGATTGCTAGTCTCACCCATGGTCTTTACATCCTTGATTCAGAAGCTCTTCTCCCTCATAGTCATGTTCCCCCACCCCTTTGTTTTTCTGTTATTTCAAAGAAAGTTGCCTTGTGGCACTCAAGATTAGGACACTTGTCTTTACCCGTATTATCATCAATGAAAAATTGTTTACACCTTGATCCTTTTCTGATTCTTTGCAATGTACTGTTTGTCCATTAGCCAAGCAAAAATGTTTATCTTTTCTGTTAAATCCAAAATTATCTTCTCATCTTTGTGACCTTATTCATTGTGATATTTGGGGGCCATTTATACCTGTTTCTGTTGATGGATATCGTTATTTTCTGACTGTGGTTGATGACTGCACACGCTATACTTGGGTTTTTCTTCTTAAACACAAATATGATTTTTCTTCTGTATTTTCCAATTTCTACACCTTAATTCTCAATCAATTTAATACATCTATCAAGTCTATTCGTTGTGATAATGCCCCTGAATTTAACATCCCTTTATTCTCTTCAAAAGGCATTTCTGTTTTCCATTCATGTGTAGATAGACCACAGCAAAACTCAGTGGTTGAACGCATACACCAGCACATTCTCAATGTTGCTCGTGCCCTTCACTTCCAATCTCACATTCCTCTCCCTTTTTGGCAAGATTGCATTCTGAACTCTGTTTACCTCATTAACCGTACCCCTTCTCCTGTCTTACACAATGCCACTCCAATTGCCCTTCTTCACAAACAGCCTCCCAAATATTCCCATCTTCGTGCTTTTGGGTGTCTATGCTATGCCTCTACTCTTTCCCGCTCTAGGCATAAATTTTCTCCTAGAGCCCTACCTGCTGTCTTCATAGGTTATCCACCCGGTTTCACAGGTTACAAACTCTTGGATCTTCAGTCAAAACGAGTTTTTATTTCTAGAGATGTTGTCTTCTTTGAAACTGTTTTTCCATTTTCCTCATCTCCTATTCTTTCTACCCCTCTCAATTCTATTCATGTTACATCTCTTCCCACTCAACTCACTATTGATGCTCATACATCCAGACCATCAAGAAACTCTCGTCCACCAAAATATCTCCTTGACTATGACTGCTCCACCACCACATCACATCCTTTATCTTATTCATTATCATATCACCATATATCTCCCACACATCTGGCTTTTATAAATTCCTTATCCACACATTATGAACCCATAAATTACTCCCAGGCATCCTAACTACCCGAATGGTGCACTGCCATGCAACTTGAAATCGGCGCTGTTGAACAGAATGGCACTTGGGACATTGTTTCCCTTCCACCTGGTAAGACTCCAATTGGTTGCAAATGGATCTACCGTGTCAAATACAAAGCGGATGGGAGCCTTGAAAGATACAAGGCTCGTCTTGTTGCTCAAGGTTTCACCCAAAGAGAGGGTATTAACTACTTTGAGACTTTTTCACCAGTGGTAAAAATCACTAGTGTTCGTCTTCTTCTTGCTTTTTCTGCTATTAATGGCTGGTTTTTACACCAATTGGATGTCAACAACGCATTCCTCCATGGTGATCTCAGTGAGGAAGTGTTCATGAAATTACCTCCTGGCTACTTATGTCAAGGAGAACCTCTTCGACCAAATGTTGTTTGCCATTTAAGAAAGTCTCTTTATGGTCTCAAACAGGCATCTCGTCAATGGTTCCAAAAATTGAGCTCTACCTTGTTGTCCATGTACTTCTCTCAGTCCACATCTGATCACTCCCTGTTTCTGAAATTTGATGGCTCCACCATGCTTGTTGTTTATTAGAAAGTAAAAGTGAGAAAAAGGAAAATATTGATTTCATTGATTGGTAATTAATTTGTACATATGGAGCACTTATATAGAAGAGCATAACTAAAAAATAGAAGGATCTAGAATATCTCAATTAAAAATAATAAAATATTTATATCTCTAATACTCCCCCTCAAGATGGAGGGTGAATAGCATGAAGACTCCATCTTGGAAAGAAAGAAAATAAAGCTTCACGGAACATCAACCGGAGAAATCAATAGCACAGCAAATCAACTGGAATGATCATCAGTCTGAAGAGCTGGTAAAAGAAGGAAGGGTTGGGATGGACATCAGCCACCTAATATAAACGGTGCTGGGATGGACATCAGCAAAATAAATGTTCTGAAATGAACATCAGCAACATGAACAATGCTCCCCCTTAATAGGAAGCCAAAATAATGCCAAACAATGACAAAAATAAACCAAATACAAGCCAAATCAGACTTGAATAACAACACAAACATACGTGGGAATAAAATCTAAAATCTAAGTGGCCAAATACAAGCCAGAAAAAATAAATAAAAATAAAAATAAACCAAATAAAAATCAGCTACGTGGTAAAACACCATTTGGAGAGCTGAAACCATCTTCAGAGAGAGAGAGAGAAAGAGAGCTACAACATAAGCTATAGCAATAGCAACAAAATGCCTTGGTCACGTAAAACAGCAAACACATTGTGCGCATCATTGAGATCTAAAAAAAATGCATATAAATCCATGGAAGGAAGCCAATGAACTGATGTAAAGGAGGACGACATAAAAAGAAAAAAAGAGAAAAAAAAGGAACGTATCCGGTGAACAAAAAACACTGCAACTAAGATGCAAAACACAAAAAAAAAAAAAAAGTTGTGAACAACCATGAGTTGGACGGCGACCGAAGATGTGAACATGTGGAGAACAAAACCGGCGGACAGCGGTTGTTGGTTTCAGATCTAGGAAAAAAGAGACGATGAACATATCCCATCTAACGGACAACATGTCCGACGAACAGAGGCGGACTTCCTCGAGAACAGGAGACGCAAGCTGGAAGGAGAAACAGATTGCGATAGGAAATGATGACCGGAGAAAGAGACACGACCGGAAGAAGAGAAACACGGCCGGAGGAGATAAAAACGCAGATCTGAAATGTGAACGATCTGGAAAAAATTGGAGAAATTTGGATGTGAAAATGATAACAAATCTGATCTGAAAATCTGATCACGAACAAAGGGGAAACCCTAGATGAATAACCAGATCTGAAAATCTAGAAAAGCTATGATGGCAGACGAAAAGTTGGTGAAAAAAAATGATAACAAAATCAAGTAGATTTACAAAAATGAAAAATAGCATGGCGTCGAAAAAGAACACCAGAGAAGATGACCGAAATAGTGATTTTTTGTTTTTTATGATAAAAAAAGGGAAACAGACATAAAGATGGAAAAAAATATAGCAGCGGAACATCCATTCATGGAGGATGAAAATCTGCTCTTGATACCATATTAGAAAGTAAAAGTGAGAAAAATAAAAATAATGATTTCATTGATTGGTAATTAATTTGTACATATGGAGCTCTTATATAGAAGAGCATAACTAGAAAATAGAAGGATCTAGAATATCTCAATTAAAAATAAAATAAAATAATTATATCTCTAATACTGCTCTTGTTTATGTGGATGATGTTATAATTGCTTCCAATGATGATAATGCTATTCAACAGTTTGTTTCTTCTCTTGATAATTATTTCAGATTGAAAGACCTTGGTCCACTAAAATACTTCCTTGGTGTTGAAGTTGCTCGATCATCACAAGTGAATTTTCTAAGTCAAAGGAAATACATCGTTGACATTCTTCAAGATACTGGACTTTCAGGTTGCAAGCCTAAATCCACTCCTATGGAACTTAACTTGGCTCTCTCTCTTTCACAAGATCGGATCTGTCCTTTGCTATCAACCGTCTAAGCCAGTTTTTATCTGCTCCTCGTGTTCCTCATTTGCAGGCAGCTCATCGCATTCTAGCTTACTTAAAGCACACTGTTGGTCAAGGGATTCTTCTTTCATCTGATTCAGCTATTTAACTCAACATATTTTCTAATTCAAATTGGGAAAGTTGCCCTGATACTCGTCGTTTTGTCTCTGCTTCTGCGCTTTTCTTGGAAATTCTCCTATATCATGGAAATCCAAGAAACAATCCACTGTCTCTAGATCATCTGCAGAAGCTGAATACAGATCAATGGCTAATGCAACATGTGAAATTATTTGGATTTTATCCTTGCTTCGCGAATTTCAGATTGC